TGGAAATCCTGTTAGATGCTTAAAAGTAGTACTAAACCTATGAGCTGAAGTTTAATTTAGCTGTCTAGAAAATCTTCAGGTGAGAAGCCAGTCTCTTCCTCTAGTTGATGAGAAATGTGATGTACTGCATTTACTTGAATCCAAGACAAGGTTTATTTCCCTGTTTAACATGGAGTAGGGAGAAAAAAGCCCCTCATTTTGGATTTGAGTACAAGGTGGTTGGGAGGTATGTGGCTGCAGTGACTCCGGCTTTTGATCCCAATACAGGTTGGGGTTGTAGCTGTAGCTGCTGCCTGCCCAACTCGTCTACACTCTTGCCAGCCCCCAGTTCTCCCCTACCCCTGCTTACCTCTGGCTCTGTCAGGGATCAAGTCCTGGAGCTTGTGGTTGCTCCAGTCCAGTGTGGCAACAGCTGTTAGGTACCAGGGGCAGGGCAGATGCCAGGGGTATAGGCATGGGGAGGGCAAATAAGAGGGGGGCGGAGGGGGGCAGGTGCCAGGGGTATAGGTATGGGAGGGGAAGTAGTAGATGGACAGAGGGGGCTGGTGCCAGGGAGGCAGGCACTGGGGTGGCAGGCAGAAGGTGGGGCAGGTGGCAGGGTGGGGTTCATGGGGCAGAGGGGCAGGATGCTTGACCCCTTTTACTTCCCCCTTGCCTGCCACTGCTTTCCCTGCTGCAGCGATGGGAGGAGCAAGAGTGAAATTGAAGATGATCCTCCAATATAAGCTTATATTAAATTATAACCAATTGGTATATTTTTCCATGTATAAAATCTAATTATTGGGGGATCATCTTAAATTCATGTTAGTCTTGGATTTGGGTAAATGTTATTTCTACCCTGCTCCATTTTTCATTTAGATGTCCAGCTAATAGGTACCTATTTTCTTCTGGGTACTAAAAAAGAAATATGACATTTGCTTTTTTTGTTCCTCCACCAGCATATGGTGTCCTGACAGCTAGTGAAGGTAGGTTGGTGGAGTCTCTGCTGTTCCATATTTGTTTTCTGCTTACTTAGATGGAGCTGTTTATTTGCTATGGATAAGGTAGCAAATTCACTTTTCAAGCTCTGAGAAGAATCTGTTTAAACATGACCATATTACTGTTTATTTACAAGAAAATTAAAAATTGTTTTAAGTTTAAAATCCTGATTTATATATTTGATGCAACCAAATCCTTTTACCAGTCCTTTTACATTTACAAATGTTAAATTAACTTTAATTTTAGTTGGCAAGAAGATGTATTGACTATAAAACTATGTAAAAAGCTGTAAAGCAATTTAAAGTATTGTATTACACAAGCCAAATAAAAGGTTGGCCATAAGCTACTTTTAGTTTATAACTTCACTTTTAATAACAGACTGTATTTGGTATCTTTTATTTTCAAAGGCATTCTGTACTGACTTTTAAGAACACGGACTTGGTCTATATTATAGATTTTCATCAGAAAAAAAATTAAATAATTAAATACTTTGATTTATGATTCCTGCTTGTTCTTTTAGAAAAGCTGTTCACAGCATCTTCTCTCATGTGAAAAATTAAACCAGGGCAGTCCAGCTGGTAGCCTATGGGTCACATGCAGCCTGTGAGAGTTTAACAATCACCTAGTGGTCTCCAGTCTGGCTGCATTACTCCCACTGTTGCCAGGGTCCCCTCTCTCCTCTGGCTTCTGCTTCCCATCCCTGCCACCAATCCCAGGGGCCAGAGAGAAGCGAGGGTTGCACTGCCAATGTGGTAGGGGGCCCATGCAGCTTGCACTGCTCATGTGGAAAGGGATGGAGGTGGGGGCGGGGACCCTGGGAAGCCCATTTGGCTGCTCGGATATTGGGCAGCCCTGAAATGAACAGTGTTACTCTGAAAGTGGTAACTTATCTGAATTGATCACATCTGAGATGTCGTTGGAATGCTTTATACAGTTTTGTTAAGAGCCATTTGGATCTGGTTGAAAAACGTGTTATTTCCATTTGTTGTCCTGCATGGAAGAGTCAGGTTTCTGCTGGTGTGTTTGCAACATTCTGCATGAAGTTAGTAGTTCCTAAAGTCCTTTTAGAAAATACTAATAAACTCTTTTTTTTTTTTTTTCAATCTAGTCAATCCTGCAGTGTGGCAAGCAGAAAGCCATGTGAGTGAGCTGAGCACTCCAATGGGGTGGTTGGGATTTTTTAAACTGAACTCTTCCCTCCTGAAAGGGATATGTGGCAGTGGCAAGTCAGAAACTGTTCTAGGGTTGTTTGTATCCTCTGGATGTTACACAGTTTAAAAAAACAAAACAAACCTTTTGGTATCATCTTCAAATCAAATATGGGAACTGTATAATACAGGCTTGGCATGGGGAATCCACAACATCAGGCCCCATCAATATTTAGTTTCTACAAACAACAATAAAATGAAGTAGGGCTGTCAAACTATTAAAAAATTTTATTACAGTTAGTTGCATGATTAAAAAAATTAGTCGCAATTAATTACTATTTTAATTGCACAGCTAAAACCTCAAACTTATGTGCAGAAACACTAAAATTTTGCAGATAGTTTATACAGTTGGGGGGTGGGTATGGGGGAGTGTGTGGAAATTTGTGAAGTTGTGGGGGACTGTGGATGTGTGTGTGTGTTCCTGGATGTGGGGCCGGGGTGGGTAGTGGGATGGAATCATTTTCCAGGTGTGGGGGGTAGGGCGCAGCTCCTACTGCTACATGCACCCCCAGGGAAGGCACAGGAGGCATGTGTGCCCCGGATTTGTGTGCAGGGTGGAGGCAGGCTGTGGATGTTCATCTGTGTCTATGTAGGCCCCCTGCCACTGGTTCCTAGGCTGCCCTGTGGTCCTCTGAGTTACCACGTCTGCCTTGCTGGGTAGCCTGGAGGCAATGATGACAGGAGCAGAGTAGAACCCAGTCTCCAAAACCACATGTATGATCAATGTATTTAAAAAAAATAACATGAACACTGATTAACATGTGTGCTAACTGTGATTAATTGACAGCCCTAAAATGAAGCTTTGGGCCTGCCAGTGTTCCAGTGAATTTTTGACGTGTTAAGGAGGAGAATGTTTTTAAAGTCAGGAGAATGGGAGAAAAGTAATAGGTGCTTCCCACCCTGGAACATTCAGTAGATGAAACAATGGATGACAAATGCTGTGAGATAAGTGCTGGAATTTCCCCAAATAGAAAGGCCTAGTAAAGGCTTTAATATCCTTTTACAGTAGGGGTTTTCAAACTGTGGAGCACACCCCCCTGGGGGGTGTGCAAAGGAACGTTGTAGGGGGCACAGTGGAGGAGGGCCCAGGCAAGAAGTTTGCAAGGAGCCAGAGCTGCTACAGCCTTGCAGGGGAATGTAGGTGCAGGGAGCCCCAGATGGGCTCTGCCAGCAAATTTTTTTTGCTTATTAAACCAAAGTCTAATTGGTCTAATAAGATATCACCTCTACCACGAGTCCTGTAAGTTAGTAGTTTGAAATCTCAGGACATTTATGTGGGCAGAGGGATATAGAATCCAACAACCTAAGTTGTTTCTTGCTAGAAATTGGAAGAGTCTTGACTATGTGGCTTGACTTGAATACTGCATCTGTGCAAGGGCTTAAGCTAGGCAACCCTTTGGAATCTGACTTGGAAATCTTTAGCATAAAGTTGGAGGGGGGCGGGCATTGTTTTTAAAGAACAATAGCATCTACACACCTTTGCCAGCAACGCAGAACCTCTTCAGCAAATATTTAAGTAATGTAGTCATGTGTCCTATTGCTAAAAACATCTTAATGTTTGCAAACTTTGGTGTGGCAGAGCACTGTTGGTGCCTGCCACTTTAAGGGCTACGTCAGATATCCAGCAAGTGCCTGATGGCAGCAGCCATTTTGAGAACTTAATACAGGCAGCCCCCACTTAACATGGTTTCACTTAGCGCTATTTTGCTGTAGCGCTCATTTTAAATTCATACCTCATTTCATTTAGCGCTGAGCCAGTTTTGCTATAGCACTCAGCGAAGCAGCAGCAGCAAGAAATGGTGAGTGGCAGCAAGTGGGTGGGCGGGCATGAGGTCGGGGCCCACACTGGTGCTGCAGGGCCAGGGCCAGCAGGAGCCCAGGGTGAGACAGCAGGAGCGGGGGACCCGGGGTGGCACATGGTGCCGGAGTGGCTGGAGGGTGGTGCTGCGGGGAGAAGCGGCAAGAAACATGAGTGCAGGGCCTATGCCAGTGCCGACGGGGTCCCAGGGCAGGGCAGCAGGAACACGGGGCCCGGGCTGGCACATGGTGCCAGAGTGGCTGACAGGCAGGGGGGTGGGGAGAAGCAGCGGCAGGGAGAATCATGAGTGCGGGGCCCCATGGTGCCGGAGCTGGCAGGAGCACAGGGCATGGGCTGGCACGTGGGGCCGGAGTGGGTAGCAGGCAGGCGGAGGGGTGGGGAGAGGCAGTGGCGATGATGAGAAGCTACGGCAAGAAGTAGTAACCAATTATTTCTATTTACATTAAACCCTATGGGGAAATAAGTTTCACTCTGTTCTTGTTCTGCTTAACACTCTGTTTTCCCGGAACCAATTAAGAGCGTTAAGCACGGGTTGCCTGTATATAAAAGCTGCAGTCTGCTGCTGCCAGCCCAGGCAGAAACGTCGCCTAGCTGAGCTGCAGCAGGAACAACCAGGAGGTAAGGGCAAGAGCTTATGGGGATGGATAGGAGGCTCTTGGTCCTTGGCATGACCTAAAACTACATCCTGCCAGAGATGGGTGGCCTGGTGGGGCTCCTAGTGGCGTGGGAACCCCCAGGAAATGCTAGGCCAGTTACCACCCCAGTAAAAGATGGGTTAGGGCACCTTAATAACCCTAGCTCCCACAACCAGGTGGGTAACCCCATAATAGGGCCGAGAAGACGGACCTGTGAGAGAGACTGGTCTAGATGCTTGGAAGCCTGACTTGAGGCACCCTCAACTGGTCAGTGCTGGGACCAGGACCAGAAGGGTCAAAAGGGCTAGGGGCCCACCGCAAGGGATGCCCAGAGCTGAGGACCTGGGGTTCTGACTTGCTTTGAAGGTGAAGCCAGGGCCTGTGTGGCCAAAGGTCCTGGGGGGGGGGCCACACCCGAGAGGGGGAAGAGTGCAGCCCAGAATGAGGGTAGAGCAGGCCGCCTGATGGGAGGGATGCAGTTGGGGTCCAGACTGGAGGATTATGGGGCCCAGTGTGGGGCTGGAGACGCTAAGAACTGTGACGCCATCCGTGAGGCATGGGCTGCGGTGTAGGGGTGGTTTGGAGTCACAGATAGTGCTTGTGGCTAGCTGCAGATCTTGTGACTGTCTACAAACTCATTAGGGGGGGTCAGCAGGGGATCAGGGATACTCTGTTTACCAAGGCACCCCTCAGGGTTACTAGAAACAACAGCCATAAACTGAAGGAGAGTAGGTTTAGATTGGACACCAAGAAGAAATTCTTTATGGTGAGGGTTGCCAAAATATGGAATGGGCTTCCAAGGGTGGTGGTGCTTTCCCCTACCTCGAAGGGGTTCAAAAGGAGATTAGACATGCACCTGGCTGGGGTTACTTGACCCTAGTGCTCTTTCCTGCCCAGAGCAAGGGGTCGGACTAGATGATCTAATAGATTCCTTCCGACCCTAGAAATGTATTAAATCTGTAGCGCCCCTTGGCATTGGGACTGGGACTTGGGGATCTTCCCACATTATACCACCGGTTTCAGAGAACAGCAAAATTGTGGCAGGTGAGACTGGGCAGAGTGCCCCATAGAGACAGGTGGGAGGGCCAGCATAAGACCCAACCCTGAGAGGGTGCCCCTGTCACATAGAGAAACTAGAAATTAATAGCATTAAAAGTGTAATTGCAAATGGACAAAACTCACTTCTGTGTGTTAACTTGACTAATGATCATTCACTTACTAATTCCAAAAGTTCTGTTACTCTTTTGGGCATTGTTCTTTTCATGCTGTAACAGTCTACAAAAATACTGCAAGGAAATCAAAGATATAGTGAGTGTTTCAGGCACTCAAGTGCTCTCTTTCTCCATATATATTCTACTTTGAAAAGTAATCAAGAAAAAATTATAGTATTTTACTTAGTTAATTTTCTCTCCTTGTGTATTCAGGCACATTTGCCAATGGTCCTGGCTTAATAACATTATCCATTACCATACTGACTGTTAAGTGTGTACAGCTGTGGGTTTGAGTTGGATTCTGTCTTAGCCTGTACACCATCAATAGACTGGTTGGATCTCTGCTGTTGAGAGAGCCTGCCATAAATTATAATTTTTGAATTTGCAGGACTGGCAGTCTAGAAGTAAAATCACTTAACTGCATAAATCATCTGGAAGTCCTGAAAACACATGATTTTTATTTTTTTAAGTAGCTGCTTGTGATGTGCAGGATTACACAATTATACTCTGAGAGCACAATACTAGTTCCTTTTTTTATAGCTTTGTTTTGATGGAACTTAAAACATAGCTAATCACAGATTCTCCCTCTCTCTTCTCTTCCTCCCCCCCTCCTTCACCTGCAGCATCTTGTGTCTGTCTTCAAAAATACCACGCGTCAGGATAAAGTGACAAAAATGACAGAGTTCTGGCTGATTTCTGCTCCTGGGGAGAAAACCTGTCAACAGACATGGGAGAAACTACATGCTGCTACTACAAAAAATAATAATCTGTCTACCAATTCAAAGTTTAATATCCCTGACTTAAAGGTATGTAAATCCCTAAAATGTTCCTGTTTTCCATATCTTACTTGGGTTTCTTCTGAACAAGATAACCAAGTGAATTTTCACTTCTGGTTGTTACTTTGCATGTAAATGTGGGACTTTTCTGAAGGCAGTTCTGCATTATAGAACTATATCTAGACCTGAAAATTAGAAGCAAATGCACATAGGGAAAACTGATTTTTCAGTTGCTATTTAAACATTTTAAGTCTAAAATTCCTCTTTAGTCTATAAAATCTGAAAAAGGCACACTTCTTGCATATGGTCACAACTACTGCCATGGAAATAAGGCATCCTGAAACAGAGTCAGTAGATAAATTGAAGAAGGTATTTCTTTTACTTCAATTTAAGATAAATAAATGTTGCATGTTCACTAAGACTTGCAATATAAACTGTCTAGTGGTAGGGTTTTTATGGTCCACTTCTGAATTAGCTGCTGCTCTTTTCCCATCTGCGATAATATGAAACGGCCTGGTTAAAATCAGAATCTTTCAATCAGATACAGTACTGCCTTGTTCAGAGTAGATGGCAGCTGAGCTGTCTCAGTGCAGCTTGCCAAGGTATGGCATGGAAAAATGGTGAGAGACAGTGGGTACATTGTTAAACTGATAGCAAGGACAAGGAAGAGAAGGTTGAAAGCAGTTTGTTTTGGCCTGCATTTGTTTCTTTTTGACAACTGTAGCTTTGGGAATTTATCCTTTAAATTGAAAGTAGGCATATAATGGAGTTAGGATATTTCTAGAATAAAAAAGAATCGTGAGCCTGAATCACACTTATAAAAGGAGAAAACCTATTAGAAGGGAAAAGTAGAAAAAAGGAAGTAGGGAGAAGAATATCTGTCAGAATGTTTCCTCTTCAGCCAGGTGCTACTTACTTAACTGCAAGTGATGCCAGATTGCACAGCTCTCCAGTTGTTTCCCAGCTACAGTGTGATTTATAATGTCGTTCCCCCCCCCCACCCCCCCCCAAAAAAAACCAAACCAAAACAAAAAACCAAACCACAACTTCTCTGCTTGCTATAACTTAGTACCCTTTGGATTGGCCTTACCTTTGAGGGAGTACTTGTTTCAGTTCCAGGATGCAGGGGAAAGCATCCCTGCATTCTTCTGTAGTTATGATGAACATATATATATATATATATATATATGCATGTGGCCTCAAGACCTTGGTCTTCCTACAGTAGGGGTACTCGCACCTACCTGAAATAGCTCCTTTTGAATGTTTCTGTTATTCCCCATTTTGTTTTGACGTGGCTATTCTCTCTTCCACTCTCTAGTCTCTGTAAGATAAGGCTGTTTCTAAAAGGGGATTAAGATAAACGTACTTAAAATGTACATGCTGTAAGCTAGTTTGCCTAACTGCTGTATACCTGGCATAAATTGGCTGAAAGCTGTTTTCTGGAATAGTCCCATGAGTTAAAACTGGATCAAGGCAGGGTTCTGTGCTTAGTTACCAAGACTGTTCCAGTTTGCCTTCTTGTGACCCAAATCTTCTTCTGCTTTTAATTCCTACTCATCTTTCATGGTCTTTACATGTTAAAGTAATGTTCTTTCATTATAATTGTTCTGTTGACCAAGTAAATTCCAGATTAGGTTAAAGTTTGTGATTCATCAGATTTTGGCTGTGGATAGTAACCAGAAAGTAGGCCATTACTTGGGATTAGTATGTAAAGCATTCTTTCCCCCCTAGCCCTGGAATGTAGAGCGCGCGCACAGGCTACCGCGTAATGTATGTTCTTATGTACATAGGTAAAATAAATGTTATTTTTGTTGTCAACTTTAATAACAGATTTTGCACTCTTTCTGCATGCAAACAGGTTGATTTATAAGTTGTTTCCTACTTAAAGGTTAAGCGCTAAGTCTACGCTCGCTTCTGTTTGGCATATGCTGGTACATACAGCTCAGCATTTAAGAGAATCAAAAAAAAATATTTACTTGATGCTTAAAAACCTTCAGTTTTCAGTTGTAGATTTCAGTGAGACTAGCCATAATAAGTTTTATTCATGTTTGTTGTGTCCCTCTTATGACTTAACTATTAAACAACTAGACATCAAAATTGTTGGCCTGATCAATATGTGAATCATTGTATAATATTTGTATCTAGAACAATGAGATTTTTAGCTTCATGGAAATAAATATGCTAAAATAGATACAGATATTTTCCATGGGACTACAAAGGCAGATGAGTGCTTTTGGAAGGTGGCAGAAGAAAGTAGTGATGACAAATACATTTTGGATATTTTTGTTTTATATACAGTACGTAAATTAATGACCACCTTTTTTTTTTTTTTTTTTTAACATGTTAAACATCATGTTTTGGAGTTGAAACCAGTTTGTCAGCAAGCATGTCTGGATGAGACATAACATGAGGGGTAGACTAGCTGATATCTACCTGCCAAATAACTCATTCACTTTCTCCTAAAGCATCCAATACTGACTACTGCAGGAGTTGGCATACTGGACTGGACAGACATGTGGTTTATTCAGGAAATCCTTTGTGATAACTGAGTGTTAACATGGAACCGTGGGTAGGTGGAGTGGAGAATGGTACTGAGCTACATGCAATCAGATCCAGAACATTGATTTCTAGTTTACTGAAATGAATAAATTGCTCTTGATTTATTATGCCTCTTTGATTTGCCATTGATTTTAATACATGTTTTGTTTTGAAAACTTAAGGTATGGGTTTTTATGGGGTGCTCTGTTTTTAGTGTGTCCTCCAGCCCTTTTTGCTTTTCTAGACTTGCATCTAAAGTCTAATAGTAATAGTTCTTTTCTTTTTTATTCTAGGTTGGCACACTGGATGTGTTAGTCGGTTTGTCAGATGAGCTGGCTAAATTGGATGCATTTGTGGAGGGGTAACAATTTTTAATAGTATATAAAATATTACAATAATGGAGATCTTTTTTTCCCCACAGTCCATGTTTTACCTGTGGGGGCTTCCTAATGTCTCAATAGCCAAGTTTTATAGCAGGCTGATCAAAACATTATATTATATATAGGTTGCTCTGTTACTTGTAAACATATGCATTTTATGAAATTGCGGAACTTGCTGTCAATTTTTTTTAATAAAAATAATTCTTTGAGCTACAGCTCTAGTGGAAAAGCTAAATTTCACCTATTTTGCTTTTCTTAAGCTTTCCTTTAATACAAAAACTGGAGTTTCCAAGGAGACTGACAATCCTTTGGTCTGAGTGTAGGCAACTATTGAAGAATTTATAAGGGTAAAGAATATCTTATTGTCACGCTATTTCAGTTAAGAATTTTGACATTTTTCTGTGTACCATAGGGTTGTCTGTTGTGGAGGTAATTAATTAAAAAAAAAAGACTAATTACTTATAAGAACATGGATTTGATTTCTCTTCTATACGAGTAAAGAATAATGAGCATTTATATTTGATAGTAATATTTGATGTTTAGAAGTAATCAGCCTGCTGCTGCTTTGTAGCCAATCTTTGCTGGCTTGGAAATGTTTAAACATGGAGATTCTTAAAACCAAAAGTAGACTGCACAGTATTATGGCAAGAACTTCTCTCTTCTTTCCCCAGCCTCACTCGGAGAAACCAAATCCGTGTTCTTAGAAATAGTTTGTCTTTTTTAGAATTAATAAACTCCACAACAGACAACTCTATGGTACATACATAATACAAGATGTTGGAAAGGGAACACATAAAAGAAAACAAAGAAGGAAGAGTATAGGTGGGAGAAATAGTTGGGATCAGGGTTGGAAGAGATTTATTTAGAGGGACCAATCTTGAGGATGCAGAACTGGGCTTCTGAGTTCTGTTCCCAGGCCTGAAAATCAATTGCTTTCCCACTTCTGGTAAATTGTCCTTTTCAGAAAAGGATCTAACAAACATTCCTTGCTTGTGCTGATCTTAAAATATATGGATTTACCAAATCTTTAACAGCTGTTGTTCTGCTACTGTTTTTATGGCTCTGATACTGTGAAGCCCCCTTGCTTACTGTTGATTTCAGTCAACAAACTATTTTATATGCTAGCCAAGAAAATGTGCAACTATTACTACCATTTCTCTGTCTACTGAGTAGGACATTCTGCTTCTCTTCTTTTTGAACTGGATAATTTAGTAGAAGTTTCTGTAATTCTCCTCGTGCTGAATTTAAGGTGAATTGGAGGGTGGGTGGGGAAGAGAGGGCAAGAGTGGAATTTGATTCACTTCAAGGTTAAAGCATGCTTTTAGGACACTAGTATGGCATAGTTTAATTAAATCAACCAACTGACAAGTAGTGGTAATTGTGGTTTCTTAAACAAGTCAGCTGCCAGTTGCTTGTGGCTTATGTAAAAGTGTATGACACATACCCCATACCCCAGTGAACAAGCTTATGTACCTATGGAAGAAATACTTGTACAGCCTGACAAACGTAACTGTTCTTTAAAAGCATTAGAGAAAAATAAATAACTCCTTTTCCTTTTAGAGCATTTTGTTCACAATTATTTTGCCAAATCAGAGTGCGTGTGTGTCACTGAAAGATACATAAGCATGTAAGGCGATGAATACATTCAGTTTTAATTTGGTAATTAACAGGGCAGGATTTCTAGCAATCTGTGTTTTGAAGGGAAGGAGAAATTACTTTAATAATGGGAGAACTTCTTGGTTAACACTCAAAAAGTAGGCAAAGTGTTCTTGTAGTCTGACATGCATAAACAATTGAAGTACAGGTACTCCTCACTTAACGACCTACCCGTTTCTTTCCCTTGAAAAAAGAGAAGACCTTAAGGGAGTTAGGCATCCAAATTGTATTGAACTTCAGTATGATTTGGCACCTTACACTGTTATTCGGAAGTAAAAGCTTTGCTTTCTTTTTGTTAAATCTGCTGGCAAGCATGATAAAAACCCTATAACCAAAACAAATACATGTCTAGAACCATTTAGAAAAAATAGGTACTTCCTATGCAAAACTTTATAGCGTCTACTACCCTAAGCTTTCTATGAGCACAAGCAAACCTTTTATAATTTGATCTAACCTTTTAAATATAGTTTTATCTTGTCAAAATAATTATATCACATTGCTTTGACTCCATGGAATTAGTTTTCTGACATTTGAATGAGACACTAGTGCTTTTTTCATTCTCAAAGCTATTCCTAATGTTTTATTACTCTTGTCTTGTTTCTCCAGTGTAGTCAAGAAAGTGGCACAATATATGGCTGATGTTTTGGAAGACAGTAAAGATAAAGTTCAGGAAAATCTCTTGGCTAATGGAGGTAAGAAGTGTTACCTTTATTCTGGACAATATTTCAGGATTTGCTGTTGCTTTTTCTGCAGACTTAATTCTGCTTCTTAATGTAAAATATTTAGAATTCAAGGTAAACATGGTGATGCTTTGGCTGGCTGCCAAGTCATTTATCCCAAAAGAGGAAAAAACTCCAAAAGTGAGAGCTGGTTTCAGATACCTGTTAAACATCCACTCCTAAAAAAGCTTTTCCTTTTTTTTTCTTTTTTTAAACTCTTGTATGTTCAAGTCATCACCAGTTTAGTCTTGTTTCTCCTTTATTTTAATACTGAATCTTTTATTGTGATATTAACTATAGCATGTATTAAAATGTGTCTCTTTGTTGCTTGCTCAGATCTTTATGTAAGGTAGAGGGGAGTAAGTGTTTCCTAACTCTCAAGTAGGCTTTTGTAGAAAGCTTGTTAGCTACCTTCTAGAAACTGAATACTGGTCCATACTGGAATAGTGCAATAGTCCCTTGAACTGTCATTCTTTCTGCAGAAGTAACTAATCTGTAATTTTAATTAATTACTAATATCTAATAGTGATGCCAAAGGTGAATACAAAAGGGACTTAAAATGAATATATCTGCTGGATACTAATTGAAAAATATCCAATTCGTGCTTGAGCCAGCTACACATCCAGCTAGAGATGTATGCAACTGCTGCTTTAGCTGAGAGCCAAATGAACTTTGAAATTGGGGGGGGGAAAAGGCTTCTTTTCAGAGCAAGACTTGTGCTGTTGATGTTGCACAGAAATACTATTTTTGTCATTACTTGCTGCTTCTGAAATTGTTATTGGCACATTTCACCATCCATCTTAAGAGTTTGCAGATGTACAGGAGCCGGTATCTGAATATAAGAAGCCAAAGTATCCCTGAGTTGATAATATCCAAAATTCTTCTACCATAATAGTGTGTGCAATAGGGTCAATGTTTGAAAGTTTGTAGACCATTAATTAACCTGTGACATGAGAAACAATGCAGAAAACAAGCAACTTATCAAAGTCCATGCTTTTTATTGTTGTATGTAACCTGTTATTCTTCCACCTTTTTTAGTTGACTTGGTCACCTATATAACAAGGTTCCAGTGGGATATGGCCAAGTATCCAATCAAACAGTCCCTGAAGAATATTTCAGAAATTATAGCAAAGGTAAGACTATATGTCACTTAAACAAATGGGTATATCCTGTTTCATTAATCCTGTTTACAGAAACTTATTGTATTTTTTACAAAGTAAAATGAAAGTATGACTGTGGCTTGTGCTAGTGTATCGGTACTAGTTTTAGTTGGTTAGCACATGTATTGAGTACACAGAGATACTTGTTGCTTACTTGATTACAATTCACTGAAGAATCCTTAAAAGCATCACGCAGTAGGCTGTGGCTGGAAGACTTGACAGTAGAGGTGCACCGATACATGGGTCCGATATTGGGTCGGCACCAATATAAAGAAAATTGACTGTCAAAAATCAGCCTGATGCGACTGATAATGTGGCCAATAAATGCTCCGTGCATGCACTTAGCCGCAGCGCAGCACATAAGTGGCGAGGAGCAGTGCAGCTGGTAAATCTGTAGTGGAAGAATTGGGGGGTGGGGGGCAGATCAAGGCCCCCGTGGTGAGGGAGAGAGTGGGGCTGGGGCAAGCGCTGCCCAGCCAGGGTGGGGCACAAGACAGAGCTGTGGCTTGTCCAGAAGGCATGGCGGGGGCTCCCACCACTGCACACAACCCAGGAGAGTATGGGGGAATGTGCCCCCAGATCTGGGTGGGGCAGACTGCAGGCTGGGACCAGGGCTGTGCCAGGCTTTCCCCACTTGCATAACCCTCCTCCCAGCTAACCCTCCTCCCAGAGCTGCTGCCACCCACCCCAAGTGCAGCCAGCCTCTGCCCACAGTGGCAGGCTGCCCCCCGCAGCTCCTTTTCCCAGCACAGGGTTGGGGGGGAGGGGCTGGGCTGGGCTGGGGCTGCGCTTGGTGTGGGCGGCAGCAGCATTGGGATAGGACTATGTGGGGGCTACAGCAAATTTTGGGGTAGCTGCAGTCCCCACTTGCATAACCCTCCTCCCAGCTAACCCTCCTCCCCGAGCTGCTGCCACCCACCCCACGTG